ACTCAGTGGATGTATAACCAACGTATCTCTATAAATATACAGGGCCTCACTGGTCAAATACGAAATTTAATTGCCCACTTCAGATGCCAGCGACAAGACCGCCATCACATCTGTATAGGCAATAATGGACTCGATCATCATCATGTACATGACCATCAATGGGGGCCTCCGGGAGTCCTGGGAGACTACCACCGCAAATATGTGCAATGCCGATCAGCAAACTTTCAAGGGCATAACCATTCACTGTGTGATTATCATTTCCAAAGTGCAGGAGCTCCCATTTCCGTTGAACCTTCATCAGGTCGTGGTTCCTCAGCGTTTCTGGACATGACAATGATTCAAAATATGCAGGCTCCATCATGGCCCAAGCTGATGACGTTCTGGAGTTCGCAGTTGGCCCTACTGGATGGTATTCCCTCCCACCTGTGGTATGGGTTCAACAGTGGGGCAGCCACTTGGACTGCCTCCAGCCAGGCTTCTGCTCTCGGGGCTCTTGTCGCAGCTAGGCAACAGAATTGCTGAGGAGATTCTTCAACCTTCATTTTGTACCGATACACGAGATATCGTAATACCTTCCACTCGAAACAATGAACATCAATGTGAACGTCGAAGCAACTTCCCAGGAAGTTCACATCATCAATTGCATGTATATATTCCTGGTTTAGGGATTCAGGGAAAAATAAGCATTCTGTTTGGGAATGAATCGAGGAATTCAACAATGGTGGATTGAGCTGGAATGTGGGAAAAGTTTGGATTGCTCCATGTGTTCATACGTTATGTTGGTGGGAACCACCGATGCAGAACCGTTATAGAGCAGAGGGCTGAGGCCAGGTCCTGGCTTGGTAAGAGGGACCAGGGATGCCTGGCAGGCCTTTGTCATACTAAGGCCCTGTTCGGGATTCCAAGTTAAAATCCCAATTACTAAATTTCCCTGCCAAACGCACCATTTAGTATCTGGACCTAATTAACCCAAGTCACCATCAGTCACTTGGTCTAGACCACACGTTTCGGATGTTCCCGAAGCTGACATGACAGATCCATTTTGTCGTTGTTGTTGCCTGTCGCAGTCCTGCCCTCTGAAAAGCTTTCTTCTTTTTGCTCCTCTGAGTTCATCCAAACATTGAGAGAAGTACAGAAATTCATTCAGAAAATATGTATCATGTCATCCACCAAAAGTGCACCATTAAACATGGCTTCAGTTATGAGATACACATTGTTGTCACTGACAGCAGGATAATTGAGCAGTGAGCGGGTTGAGGCGGAGTGCATGACCGGAAGTCGCACTGATATCATCATCAGTGACTTGATGTGACACTCATAGATAGTTAGACGAAATTTATAATCTCTGCGGCCCGCTCAGCCACCATATACGCAACTTCGGGGATACCTATCAGCACTGCATGGATGACAACGATTCAATTCTTGAACACGGTGTGGATGTCGGGCAGGTTTGTGATGATGGAATTGTCCACGACTTGGACATTAGTAGTACTGTACTGGGCCATCTGGTAGAGAGAGTGCTGGAGGTGGTGACCAACCCCAACGAGGGATGGATCCACAACACCGCCCTCTGAGCATGGTATCATCACCAAGGTACCGACGAAATGATGCCTGCACATGGAGCGTTAGTTTGTCGGTGGGGATCCCGAGCTATCTGCTTTATGTCCCACTCAGAAACAGACGCGGTATTTTAACATAAGTGAGGAAATCTTCCTCAGTTTGCACACTCGCGTCGGGGATGACCGGGCCTAAGATGAAGATAACGAAATCGAGACAAGGAAAGGGTTCACAGAATACCCATGGACTGTGATGCTTTTGAGATCGACTAAACAGTGAAAACAATCCACTCATTTGAAATTTTCAACTCACCATTGCTGCCTTGTAAGAGAGAACTGGAAGGATCTACTTCAAGAAGGTGAATACTGCAAAGACACTGCAGAACTGTCATTTATTCCAACCCTCCTGGATACACAAGCACTGATCTAATGTTCACAAACCCGGGAATACTCTTGAAGGAAGGCAACCAACGCCTTTTCACAAAAATAATCAAATCCATGAGAGATAAACCTATGCAGAAATCAACAACATCCAATCTTGATCACATCCGCTGTTCCATTGCGGAGGTATTTGGATACCAACCAACTGATAGTCCATTTGGACTTCTCTCAGGTCAAACAACATAACCAGACCATCCCGCAATTTCCTATGGAAAAGTCTGCATGATATCTACCCCATGTTGGGTTCTTCTGGGATCACATACCAAACCTGGAAAATCTTGCCCAATGCCTAACGTGCAAATCCCCGAATCACTGCAACCTATTATGCTGGAATGTGATACACCCGGCCAGCATCAGCTTACAGAAAGGTTTTGGAGGCTAAGATATCCCAGCCGGCCGAAATTAAACTGGGGGCTACTTTTGGTATGCGGCCTAGCCAGATTCACTTCCAGCAGGGGTAAGATATTACCCACTAAGAATTGTTTCTTCACAATTATTGTCTTAACATCAATGCATTTGATTTGGAATTTGAGGAATACAAGAGTCCTCCAGACACCTACACCTGCGTCAGAAATTGAGATGCATAACCGGTGGGTGTCACGAATGAATTCTGCTCCAAGGCAAGATCAATTACTCACAAATTGAACGGAGTTCAGTCCTTTTGCCTTCAAAAAGCTATTAGTGCTTGAAACTTGGAGTGGAACACTCCTTGACAAAGATTCCCTACCAGATGACTGGATTAAATCAGAGGGGGTTTTAGTAGGTATATGGCCCAACACTCAAAAAAATGGAGTAGGATGACACTGAGCGGCCAGAGTCCCACATGAAGGCTTGAAACCTGTGTAACTGCATTTCCTCCTGGACTACCTCCTGGCTATACTGGAAACAGTTTTACCAGCAGCTGCACCTAGAATGCTTTGCAGACTGGGTAGCATTAATTTTTTTTTCAAAAAAAATATCATGACAGACTAATTGTGGAAATCCAGCCAATTTGGCCTCATTGGCCACATTGGGTTGTTTTGCAACAGGGTCAGCAAATTACCCCTAAATTAGTGAAGGAGGATTTTCCTGATGTCAGAACTCCTGTCACTTCCATTGTCCAAAATATCCTCTCCCTGGTGCATCTCCACATCACCGAGAGGAGCGTGGTCAGGGTCAAGGCTGGGGGAGCAGACAAGATTGGTGAAGGAAGTTCCACGGAAGTGGGGACACCTTCAGCCGAGTCTGAGTCTGACCAACTTGAGACCAGAGACTGAAGACGGTGGTGAGCCTGGAGCTTCTGAAAAATACTGCATTGTATTCAGTGAGCAGATTGGAGGTGCTGTCCGTGAGTTGCTGAAGGCCGACTGTAATTATGTTGGGAGTCGGATTACCATCTCTTTCCGTGAACCCATGCCTCTTGACTTTGTACATGTAAGATCAGAAATGGGACGAGGCTGGATCAAAAAAAAAAAAAAGCCAAGCACTTCATGCCATTGAATAATGTAGAGAAGGGATCTACCACTGATCTACCAGGGTGTGTGTTGTAGGGGTACCTTGATTGTGAAGGGTGGGGAAGATGAGAACAGATCAACAAGGTGAGCTAAGCTTACTGAGTGTGATTGCCGCCAGAGGAAAAATACAAATGAGAAACTGGGAACATGGGATGGGATGAGGGGAGGAGGCACTGCAATGGAAAAAGAAAAAAAAAGCAAAAAAAAAAAAAATCATTCAGAAAACAACTAGTACTTGCAGTGGAACACTCCTCGACGAAGATTCCCTGCTGGATGACTGGATTAAATCAGAGGGGCCTGCAGATTTTAGTGGGTATATAGCCCAACACTCAAAAATGGACTAGGATAATAATGAGCACACAAGTGCATAGCTTACTTCCCAGCAACAGTTTTACCAGTGGAGTACTTTGCAGACTGGCTGGCATTATTTTAAACACTTTAAAAAAAAAAAAAAAAACACATTCATTGCATGCCTTTCATGCCCTCGGTGAAAGTCAAACTCACATTCACCTCCTTAGTATATCACCCAGTTCCAGATATAAGGTGGAGATCTACCACTGATCTATGAGAGCTTGATGGCCACGGTCTGAGTAAGATTGGAAATGGGCAGAGGCGTGCTACAGGCACGGAACAAAAACAGAAAACATTCTGAAGTGCTGTATTGTAAGGAGGAGATCTACCACTGATCTACAAGGGCATGGGGTACAGAGTATGTGGATGGGGACAATCTGAGTAAGATTGAAAATGGGACGAGAGGCCTGGAACAAAAAAAAAACAAATTCACTGACTATCATGCCAGTCAAACCCACGTTGCCTCCTTAATATATTACTAAGTACCAATGGTGAGGAAGAGATCTACCACTGATCTACGAGGGCATGATAGGCATCAGCCTTTTAACAAAAAACTTGTGGCTTGTTTGGCCTTGTGAGCTTGCCGACAAGCTCACAAGGTCAAAGCGTAGGAAAACACCCTCTTGGACAATGTTTGATACAATGGAAAACCTACCAGAGAAATTCATGAGCATTCTGAAAGACTCCTTCTGCAATTTTATGATGATGCCGCGTGCAGACAAAGCATAAAGTGTCCAATTTTTACTGACAGCCGGAGTCGAACTCACGACCTTGGGGGAATTCAGACATAGGTCGGTGGCCTTGTGAGCCCGGTCGCTTTTTGGACCTTTTTTGGCCTTGTTCGACCTTGTTAGGGCCCAAACAAGCTCACAAGTTTTTTGTCAAAAGTCTGATGGGTACTGGAGTGGATTTGTGCCTGGAGTACTTTGCAGACGGGGTGGCATTATTTTAAATGCTTTCAAAGAAAAAGGGAAACTCTCTGCCACTGATGCCCTCGGTGGGAGTCAAATCCACATTACCTCTGTAGATGATCTACATACCCCTATTGTGAGGAGGAGATCTACCACTGAGCACGAGGGCTTGATAGTTGCACAGTAGAGGTGAAATTGGGATGAGAGGTCCGGAACAAAACGAAAAAAACATTCAGTATTTGACCACATGCCCTCGGTGGGATTTGAACCCACATTGCCTCCGTGATTTCATTATGAACTCCACACTGAGAGGAGGAGATCTACCGCTGATCCACAAGGGCATGATGGGTTAAGCACAGTAGATGGGATGTGAGTGGTGAGGAGAAGTAAGATAGATGAATAGGTGCAAGACCCAGAGGATAAAATCAGAAGAGGCAAAAATGGGAGCTGAACCCAGGTTGTCTCCGGAATTTTATGGCAGCAAATTGAAATCGATAAAGAAAACCTCTGGCGTGTATTTCGAAGGGCTTCGGGATGCAAAGGGACCGGTGCCGGAGGTGTGTAACCAAGAAGAAATATTCCAGCCCTAAGCCCACAGTGGGAGTTGAACCCACATCACCTCCATAACACACTTGCGATAACTGTCACTAATGTAAGGAGGAAATCTACCGTTGATCCACGAGGGCATGATGGGCTCAGACAATCAATGGGATGTGAGATGTGAGAGGTGAGGAGAAGCAAGATGACCGGTGGTTTTGGAGGAAAAATCAGCGCTGAACCCATGTTGCCTCCGTAATTTTATGGCAGCAAATACGTAAAGCAAATCCATAAAGAAAACTCCTTAGTGTATTTCGAAGGGATTCGGGATGCAAGGGGACCGGTGCCAGGGTGTGTAAGCAAGAAGAAAAAAATTAAAATGTGCTGGCCGATGCCCGCGGTGGGTGTCGAACCCACATCACGTCCATAACACATACGCAAAGACTGCAGATAATGTAAGGAAGAGATCTACCATTGATCTACGAGGGCATGATGAACCTGCAGGTGCGGTAGTGGTAATCTATCTACCTTGATGAGAAAATGAGAACAGATTGATTGACGAAGTGAGCTTTGAGCTTACTGAGATGGAGGGATGAGATTGTGGGAGGAAAAATGAGCGGGAATATAGGATGGGATGGCATGAGAACAAGGAGAGAGGGGGAGCTGCAACAGAAAAAAGAAAAAGACAAAGCAAAAAAAATCAAAATCAAAAAGATCCGAATTGCATCATTGCCCCAGGAAATATGGGAATCTGAAATAACGAAATAACGAGATCGTGGCCGTGCTCGGCCACGATCCGGCACCTGCGGCATCAACCATTTCTCATCACAAACAAACCAACTCCTCGCGTCTCCTCTGTTACTTCCACCTCCCTCTTATACCCTCCGCATCCACCCACCTCTATCTCTCGCCGCCCTCTCCAGGATGACCCGCCGTTGTAACTGCGGCATCTGCGGGAGCAGTCTCGTCTCGCAAATCGCCAAAGGAGGGAAAGCGCCAGGGTCAGAATTTGTCCAAGTACGTGGCGTACCTTACCCTCGTCATCGCTAAACACCCATCTCGCTCAGTGCACAAACCACAACCCTCCTTGGTTCTACCGTTTCCTGGACGCCCACAACACTCCCGCCTCCATCGCGCTGCCCATCATGCACACTCCCGCCGCCATCGCGCCGCCTCCAGTCCCACCACCGCCGATGGTTTCCAAGCCGACTTGTCTCTACACGTGTGGCGGCCACCGCTGTGGAAACACCCGTGTCCCACCCCTCTGTTCGCGCCAGATGTGCAAGAAGCACTGTAACATCACTGGCCCTTGTCGTCTCCCAACCCACGACAAGAAGCGTAGAGAGAAGGAGGACGCTGCTTCATTGCAGCCTGCCCCGCTCACCAATCCTGTCCACCAGCATGTCCCTACGCCCGCCCGCGACAACACCAATGCGCTGCACGCGCTCGCAGACGACGTGTACGCAACAACGACCGCACCCCTTCGCGCCCTCGATGTCTGGCAGCGCGGGGAGGACGAGCGCACCGCCCGCGAGAATCGCAGGCTTGACGCTGTCTTGGGCATCCACTCGCCGTCCCCCGAGTTATCTCTCGGCGAGGAGATTGAGTGCATGGAGGCGCAGATCGCAGCCGACCATGCGCTAGCCCAGCAGCTTTCACAGGACCTCACCTACGAAGACAACCTTGTCGCCGATACCCTACGCGAAAGATCTCAGTTTGCCGTGTTCGTAATTCAGGAAGAAGGAAAAAAGGCTCACCACGCAACAAGCATCAAGCTTATCCACATCGCTATCAACCTCTTCTCGGTGCGTGTCTATCTGGATATACCGAGGGATTCCACCGTAATAAGTGCGTCGGCTCTTTTGCACCGAATAATCTGGGTGGTATGTTGTGTTGCAGTCGGGACAATACAGCTGAACACTCCAAGCAGGGACAACTCCGGCCGAGAGGGTGTATACAACTACTTGGTGGGTCTCGGCCCTCTTCATCGGTGACTTGCGACCACATACGGGGTTGGTACAGTGGTGGGAAGGAGGGTAAAGGGCCGTCGAAGCTGTATATGAGCTCAGTCATGATTCAGGCTCACCTACCGATGCGTAACTTACTTATACCGAGTTTCCACCCGTGCGCTCGGAACAAGTTTTCCTCTTCCTCGCTAAGAGCCTCAGAGGGAAGCTCCCAGATGTCGTCTCACAGAGATTCCCAGGTGGTAACTACCAGGCCCTCAGAGATACCCACAGCAGCTGCAAGAAAGGTCTTGATGCTCGGCGGAAGGAAGGCCGGCGCTTGGGTTGTCAAGACACGTGATGGTTGCACAAGGATGATGTCGTGTTTGAGATTAGACAGGAGGCGCGTAAATCGGAGTGTTTGCTTCAATGAAAGTGTCTCCGGGGCCATGGATGTCGCGCTCGTGGGCCCTGGCGACGCGTCGACGACGGACATGGCTGAGCTGACACGGATGTATTCAAAAAGCCGTTGTTTGTCTCGGATTGTCTCAGCCGATCACCCATCAAAATAACGGCCGAGCTCGGCCATGATCTCGTTATTTCGTTATTTCAGATTCCCAGACGGACTCCATTGCCCACGGTGGGAGTCGAACCCACGTTGCCTCCAAAGCCTTTGGGACCAGTGCAATATAGACAGGAGGAAATCTACCGTGGATCTACGAGGGCACGATGACCATTCGGTGGCGTGATGGGTTTGCATTGTAATTGAGACAAGCCGGGAACAGAAAAAAACAGCTTCTGGTAATGCGTGTGTCCTCGGTGGGACTCGAACCCACACCACCTCCATAACAGGCACGCCAAAACAGATAACATAAGGAGGGGATCTACCGTTGATCTACGAGGGCGTGATGGGTGTGTTCTTTCACTATTCGTGGGATGGACGTAACTTTAAGTACATGTGGATTGGGATTGAAAAAGGAACGCAGCATCAGATGCCAGACAAAACGCGCGAAAATTAAATCTGTTGCACCGAGTACATATTCAAACAGGAGGAACTGAGATCTCAGAGATACGGAACGAGACAGGGGTGAAAAGACTGGAAAGCAGCGGTTGTTTGTCCCTATTACATCCGCACACCGACACCTTCTGATCCGGGCCGAGTCCCATCCACTCTCATCGCCACCATGTCGTCCTCGGCGGGGTTCCCCCCGCCCGACGTCACGCATGCCATCGGGCTCATCCACGCCGCCGCCGCCCCGCCCCCTCCCCCCTCTGCCTCCCCATCGCAAAATTCCCAAAACTCGCACGCGCAAGACGCCTACATCCACTCCATCCAAACCGCGCAGTCCGTCCTCCTCACGCTGCAGGGATCGCAGATGCGGCAAATCCCTTGGCGACGGGCGCCAACTTGAAGCCCAGCATGTGGACCGCCCGCGTCGTGGACGTGGGGCATCGATCGGGTGTATGACACTAATCTGGGTGGGTGATTTGTGTTGGAGCCGTGTACGTGTTCTCCTTGGGTTTTTTTGCTGTCCCTTGTCTCCCTCGTTCCTTGACACTTGCTTCGCCCCTTTCACTTACTGCACTCGTTCCCCCCGCTGACCCTCTGCGTCCAGTCATAACCCCGCCCTCTTCCAAGCCTACCCGGACGGCACGCTTCAGGCGACGATGGAAAAGCATTATGATACATTCATTGTGCGTTTTATTTCCCTCGCTGTACAGCTCTTTTCGCCCTCCCACATTGCTTTCTATTCTCCATGTCATCTTCCTCCCCATCCCCGTACGCGCACTCCCCCTCCCCCGTCAAGGAAGGGCGAGGCGACGGTGCGTCCCTGAGGCCCGAGCCCGAGCCTGAGCCGACGTCGAGCCTCGCATTCGCCGCGCGTCTGCATGGGGATTGTCGGCAGGGCAGGCGGGGGGCGCGAGGGCACGGTCGGCGGGTCAGCGAGCGCTCCCATGCCCGTCCCCGCTCCTTCCGCGCTCCATCTCCCCCCACCCTCACCTCCCCTCCGCTCCTCTTCCCTCCATTCCCTTCTTCGCAGTCGTCCCGCTCGCTAACCCCCGCACAGGCCGAACAAGACATTGCGCAAATCGCAGGCGCGGGGCTCAACGGGGTGATCCCTTTTTGGGATATCAGGTGGGTTTTCGACTATTCTGTTTTTTTTCTGCACTCTGCACTCCCCGCTGCTATCCCCGTCCTCCGCCCATCCTCACCGCTTTTCTTCGCCCATCCGTCGTCGATGATCTCCTCCTCCATCACGCCCCATCCGCGTCTTCTGCCTCACTTCCTCTCTGTCGTCATCCTTCTTCCCTCCTTCCCCTCCCCCCTTCCTTCCTTTTGCACCTTTCCACCACCATCTCCTTTTCGTCCTCCTGCTTCCCCTGTTCCTCTATTCCCACCGCTGACACCCTCATTCGCATTTCTCGTTCTGCAGTCCCTGGTCCGATGTCGGCTCGGACGCGTCCGGCCCCGGCACGGAGCCCTTCCTCGAGGGGGGTTGCGTAGAAGTGCGTATCTTTTCCCTCTTGTTTCTTCGCGTGTCGAATTCCTCGATTTTTTTCGCTTTCTTCATACCGGGGCGGGCTGCGAGCGGGCGAGTGCGTAGGGGCAGTGGGTGATGTGGGCGCGAGGCGCAAAAGGGTGATGGAGGTGCGCCCGCGCGTTCCTTGCGAGAGGATGGGCCACGGCTTCGTGCACTCCGTGTGACCTTCCTGGCCTTGGCGGCGGTGGCGGGCGGCGCCCCGTTCTCGTGTCCCGGCGCGCGGGGTCGCGGCGAGTGGAGAAGGTGTCCTGCCTGCATGGCGAGGTGCGGCGCGCTACACGCGCTATCCAGCCACGTCCCGCCCACCGCGGAGCCAGGCTCATCGCTCGTGGCGTGGCAATCGGCGCGTCGTGCGGCTGTTGGCCGAACGCAAAGTACGGGTGCGTGTCGGGTGACGCGGTCCGGGAGGATTCAATCCCGTCTTTCGCGCGCCTTTCTGAGGACACCGCAGATCGCCCCCGCTGCGGACGGCGTCATCCGCTCACCGCTCCGGGTCCTACCAACTCGGCCTCGAATGCGGATGGATGCCCACGGACCCGCGCACGGCCCAGCTCGCCATCGGCGTCGTCGGCGAGTAGTTCCCCGGCACTTCCGCTCGTGGCAGACCAGCGCGGGCACCATTGCCACGCCGGTGACCACGCAGTTCCGGACACCCACGGCGAGCTTGGGGAGCGGGTTGGCGGATGCAAACGATACGGTGTTGGTGATGACAGCTGTGGCGGGGTGTGCGTATCCGGGCAGCGCTTTGTACCGGCGCCTGAGGGTGCATGTTACTTATTCCGTCTTGTTTTCTGCCCCACGGCCTTTACTTCGTGCTACCGCTGTCGACTTTTTTTCCTTTCCTTTTTCCGACTTTCGATTTGTTCATCTGGGACATTTGTATCCTCCATCTTGGCATCTATACCATAATGCACAGTCTATTTATATTTGGGTAACACCGGTATATGGTGGGCAGTTGCCAATTGCCGTTTTGGTTAACTGTGGCTGATGACAAAATGGTGTTTCAGATCTCACGGCGGACAAGCAACTGTCACTTGCAGATTTGAGGGCAACTGTCATGGAACGGCGACCTGAACTGTCATTTGTTTAAATCCGGGTGGTTTCTCCTTTGGGATGTGTTTCGGGTTTTTCCGCGGGCACGATGCAGCCTCGTGCTAGCTCACGCTTTGGTTGCATTTATTTTTTGATACTGATTGAGATGCAAAAACAGTTTATACCTAATCCCTAATTTGCCTGGAGCGCCATCAATTACTTCAGCGGCTTCCGGGCAGTCTCGAGCCGGCAGGCCGGCATCATTTTTACCATCAATGCCTGAACAAACAACGTGCACGCATGGACGATTCCGGCCACCGCCATCGCAATTCCCATCCTACCAAAACCTAACCTGAGTTTGAAGTAAACAAAAGTAATATTTGGAGTGCTCTGCCATGTCTGAGTATCAGTGCCACCTGTGTAGAATATTACTATCTTGCCCAATGGGGTTGTATTTGCACAATGGGTTCATATTTTGATTCTCTCGAGCTTTGTGGCTCCGGTTTTTTGCGGGATCCTTTGGTATACAAGTAGGCTATAGCTGTGTAATAAATTGAAGGGATACGGGGAGAGGAAGCATATGTATTTTAGTTACCGGTCCATCAAACTCAGAGGTATTTATGAAAGTGTCTATGTTCTGGGATCCCACCTCAACCTGGACCTCCGAGAAAATTTGAAGGGTCAGATGCATCATATGCAAGACCTTCTGCCTCCTCCGACTTATTTTCCGGGGCAGGGTCATTGTGCTCTGGAGGAAAGTGGTGAACTGTCACTAAGAGTCACAGTGAATCAATTTGTCACGCTTTTGATTCCTTCCCAGCAACCCTGGCCCAGAAAAAAGTTGGAAGAAGTAGAAAGTGTCTCATATGATGCAGTGGTCTGATAATAATTGCCCAGAGACCCAGGGAGCTCAGAACACAGACATTTCGTAAAAAAGTTCTGACTTTGATGTCAGATGGACCAGCAGCCAAATCTAATATGCTTCCTCTCACCGTATCCCTTAGGTTTTTTAAACAGCTGTAGAAGGCTAGGATAACAAGCAATCACACTCAAAACTGGAGCTAAAATGCTGCAGAGACGGGAGAGAGAATTGAAATACAAACCCATTGTGCAAATACAACCCCATTGGGCAAAATAGTACCTAGACTGTTCTGCATGTTTAGGGTTGGGTAGATTGGTGAGAATCTGAACATTGGAGCTCGTGCTGTGACAGTGAAGGAAGACCCAGATATCAGTGAAGGCACATGTGGCAACAACACAAGTAAGAAGGGTACTGCCAGAGTCTGCAAATGTTTGGTCAAAGAGACAAAGCAGAAAAAAAAACACTGATTTCCATGATGAAAGTATTTGATGTGGAGATATTGGGTACTGAGACAACGGGGGGCACAACAGCATGACTGCCCAATGGCATCGGCGAAGACAGCTGAGGTGGCGTGTGCATGTGACCGTTGAAGTGTGGGAATGAATGCCTACACCTCGTCCATGCACGCACTCTCGGATGAGCGGTCTTGACCTGCACATTTTATGCAAAACAGTCCGTATCCACATGCACCTCTATGTGGGTATGGAATCTGGTGCCCTGGGTCACAGAGTCAAGAATACAGGGATTTGGATCAGATCACAGTTTGTTGAGAATTGACAACATGGGAAGTAGTCCCATGCAATCTTAGAAGGCAGGCTTTTAAGTTATTATGAATATGTGGATGGAGCATTGGGACTGTGGAGTTCACACTTGTATTCTTTACCTAGGAAGACATGTAGATCATGAATGAGCTGTGGGTCATTACTTAGAGTCCTGCACCCATTAACCAATAAATGTTTTTGAGACATCCATCAGATTATGTTTTGTCTTTGCGATTGTCTTCCAGGGTGCAACGACTCACCATTTTGACCAGCTTATGACATGTGATCATAGTCTCCTGGAAAATGGATTCAAATTCCTTTGGTGATTCATGTGTGGTGGCTGCTTCAAAATCAATTCAGAGCGATCATGAACCCCCATACTCAGTTATTAGTATATTTTTCCAATGTAGGATCTTTCAGTTTTATTTCCTAAGAATGAAAGCAAAGGATAAATACACTATTCTACACAGGGTACACACTCTGACATGACAGAATTCTCTGGATATCCATTTCAATTACTTCAGACTTAATTCTGTGTTGGTAGGTGAATTGTGACCATGATGGCCGGAATCGTCTACACGTGCGCATTGTTTGTTCAGGCATTGATGGTAAGAATGATGCCGGCTTGCCGGCTCGAGACTGTGGCTTGGAAGCCGCTGAACTAATTGATGGTGCTCCAGACAAATGAGGGATTATGTACAAACTCT